TCTTCTGTAAGAGTTCTCATATTTCTCTATGTAGCACATACCTGAAATGATTCTTCAGTAAAACTTCATCTTTCTAGAACTTGTGTTTTCAAGCTTATTTCTGAGCCACAGCTAATAACTACTTAGGGGCCATCTAAATGCTTATGTCTTTGTGCACTATTTACTTTACTGAATATTCCACTTAACTGCACAACGTGTTTGTCGTCTGCTGCTCCTGCTGACAGATAACCCTTTATGTTCAATGAAAATGTTTTCTGTATTGCTTTTCTGGCATCGGTAGAATTACCAGCAAATCATTTTGCGATAATGCTTTTGTTTTTCAAACTACAGTGATTTATCCTTGGCTATGATAGAGTCTATCTGTATGTGAGTTAGTGCTGCTCATTTATCTCTAAGTTAGAGATGTTCTGGACATACTACCCTAGTGATATCAACGGCACTCTCAAGTCAAAACAGGGATATGTGGACATCAAACCTCATGGCTCAGTAACTAAATTAAAATCCCCCCAAAATTGCATTAATTGAATCAATATAGTCAAGTATGGGTTGCAAGTTGGTAAAGTGGTAAGAACAAGCAAATGGCCTGTTGCCGAAGAAACCAAACTATTCTAAGAATTCAAATACTAGAAAGAGTGAATTTTGCTCTGGAGAAGTTCACAGGTGAGAGAAAAAATTATGAACATGTTAGATTAAAATGCAGTGCCAAGAGATAGCTGATAAGTAGATTAACAAGTTAGAAACCCAGTTTAGGTTATCAGTTCTCAAGTCAAATTATACAGTCTTGGAATTGTTGACTTAATGACATCTGGCTCCCTGACTGCAGAGTTCAGATCGTCCGAAGACCTTAACCCAATGTGCATCTCTGGTTTTACTTACTACCTGGTTCAGTCTTGATCACGTACTCCTACATTGCCCCTTTCTCTCCTTTTGTTTGTCTTATTTTTTATAACCTATTTTCAGATCTTCTCAATGTTTTAATATCAGAGCTCCATCCCTGGTCATAGGTATCTTACCTGTCATTTACATAGAATACAAGCACCACCTTTCATGTGAGAGCTTTCCCCTAAAGCAATCTTTTTTTACTTTTTCTCAGAGAAATTGTTTTTCACTTACAATAGCCATCAAATTTTATCTTCCTTCCAAATAAAGTCTGTATAGATTCTTTATAAAAAGCATTGCAGTGTTAGCAACTGCTGGTAGCGATAGCTGGGGTGTGTGCATGTGTGCGTGTGTATGTGTTTGTGTGGGCGTGCGGGTATGTCTGTGTGGGCATGCATGTGTGTATGTGTGTATACTTCCCATATCACCTATGACAATGCCTTGTGTATAGTGAATAATAGGTGTTAAATTAAGCTGGACAGACTAACATAACAGCTACTTCAGCTGAAAGCAAGTATCCAAGTAGAATTTAAGAGAATTATTTCTAAATAAAGTGAAACAAGGGCAAAGCACAGATGGAAACTGTCAAGAAACTCATTGTTGCAATTTTCTAGCTCTGTACCTATACCCCTTTCCCATCCTACTCCCCTTAATCTATACCAGTGTTCTCCATGGGATTTCTGGAATGACCTCATGTAGCCCTTTTTTAGATGCCCAGGAAATTTTTATTGACTCTATGACAGCAGCCTGCCTCATTGGCAATGGAGTAGGATGGGAAATGATAGAACGTTCCAAGCCCTAATAATAGGAACGTGCTTGTAGGCAGTGAAAATCTAAGCACATCATCTATTCTATTTAAAACCTCTCTCTATAATAAGTAGTTCCAGTGACCCAATGATACTGTTTTCTAACATTCACATATGGATTGCCTGTTATGTGCCAACTTAGTTCTAAGTGTTGTGTGTGTAAATCATTGACTCTTATCTATAACCCTTGGAAGTGGGAAATAGGCATCCTTCCTCTCATTTTACTGAAAAAGGCTCAGTAATTCAAGCAATGAAAAATTTAGGTAGACTAGCGCCAAGCTGATTTCTGAAGTTCTACACTAGGCTGTTACCAATCAGACAAGAACATGTAAAGAAGAGACAAGAGGATAGACTCTTCCTATGAGCATTGGTTCCATTGGAATGGCTTCCTTCTAGTTTTGCCTTCTGCCTCTGCATCTCATCAGTGGCTCTGTGCCATCAAGCTTCAGTCATTCAGCATTTGAAAACTTGACTTGGGAATGAAAATTGTTGGGAGACCAGTTGCTTTTCAGACCCGTGTGTGCCCCTAAATTCAGTAATGATAGATGAAAGATAAGACATGAAAATGAACTAGATTTTAGTAATATCAGCATCTAAGCAATAAGCTTTTGCTTCAGGGCCAAAATAACACAGTTCTAAGGAGATAGAGGAATGTCAGAATGAAATAGTGAAGGAGATTTCAGACACTCTGGGAAGTGTTCACTTCCTTTACGTTTAGCTCTGTATAATCGGGTAGAGTTCTGACCCCTATCAGATTATTGGTTCAGTTAAATTAAACAATGGCTAACATGACAGAGACTACATATATTTCTCTCAGGTAAAACTCTTACCTTAATGGTAGATTAGTTGTAGAGCAAGTGTGTTCCCATCTGTGTGCCATTCTTTGGGTTGTTGTCCCCATCTGTATGACCAAAACTGGATCGACACTTATATTTATTGTTAAGGTGAAAAAGAAGGGGAAAATTAGTGAAAGGCAAACAGCATGACCAAAGAGTTGTACATGTGTTGCTTTTCAAATGCTGTTGATGGGAATTTCATCACATGGCCCCACTGTGGCAAGAGAGACTGAGAAATACAGTTTCTAGTACGTGATCACCTAAAACTTGGGAGGTACTATTACTAGGAGGATGGAGAAGAGTATTTTAAAGCCCACAGACTGTTTCTTTGGTCATCCGAATATCAGTGCCTAAGTTTTTTCCCCCCACATGTAGAACATACTCACCATCTTTCCATAGAAGATGATCCAACATCCCACCAAGTTAGTATATCCAGATAAAAATCCAGGATCTCCAGGGAACATGCAATACTTCCCATCATGTTTGATACAACTTTTCCTAATTCACTGTTTCTAATACAGCAGAATACCAGTTACTCTCCCCCCCCCCCCCCGTTTCCATTATTGCCCAGGTATCTTCTATGCAATGATACTGTCTTCTGGATGATCATAATAAAAAGTGTCATTTGAAAAAAGAGTAGGAAGTACACGGCAGTCACAGGTTTAGGGTACCTATCACAATTCCTTGTGTAAGAAACACAAAGACTGCCTACTCTTGGATAAAGAAGATTTCTTGATTAGCCCATTGGTTTCCTTTGGGAGTAACCCTTCTGTTTGTAGCCGTCTCTGGCAGGTCCGAAGAGGGATGTGCTTGGGGCTAAACAGCTTTCCTATCTTGCTGTTTCTGCAGAAGTTTTTGAGCCCAGATACTGCTTTTGGGTTCAAAACGGGGACAAGATTTCTGCAGTCTAGACTTGTAGTTGCATTGGTAACACAATAATAGCATCAAAAACAATACAGAGTTGGCTTCTACTTATTTTCTTCTAGTGAGTTTCTTGTGCTAGCAATCTCAGTCCTAAGATTTAGTCTAGAAGTAAAGCTTTAAAAAAAGAGAGAGAACACAGTGGGGATGGGGAAAAGGACAAAATCTTCAGTAGAATCTCCACTGAGCACAGAGCACAAGGCAGGGCTCTGTCCCATGACCATGAGGTCATGACCTGAGCTGGAATCAAGGGTCAGACACCTAGGGGCCTGAATCAAGAAATCATTCTTCTTCTTCTTCTTTTTTTTTTTTTTTTTGACAGACAGAGATCAGAAGTAGGCAGAGAGAGAGAGAGAGAGAGAGAGAGGAGGAAGCAGGCTCCCCGTGGAGCAGAGAGTCTGATGCAGAGCTCGATGCCAGGACCCTGGGATCATGAGCTGAGCTGAAGGCAGAGGCTTTAACCCACTGAGCCACCCAGGTGCCCCTGAATGTCATTTTATAATATAGTTACTAATGAGAAGGAAATTTAGTAGGTAAGGAAAGACTCAGAAGTTATCTATTTTTTGACGTAACCTAATTGGCCAAATTATTGTACTTGGCTGATAAACCTGATTCACGGTATACAGTTTTCCATAATTTTCATACTTTTCAGTAGGGAAAAGGGCAAAATAGATTGGGAGGCATAAGTCATGTGAATTATTATAGGAATTTTCCTAAGAGCCTTATGTTCAAGGAGAGGACTTCTTCAGCGTAAAATGATCATCTGATTTATCAGCTTTTATTACTATCCATTAGGTCTAAGGAGTGTGTGTGTGTGTGTGTGTGTGTGTGTGTGTGGAAAGCATTTAATTTTAATTAAAGTGTATATTTGGTTAGAATAAGTGTAAATTAATTTCATTTAAAAGCAATGCAGTTAACATTTTTCTGATGATTGCAAAATGATAAAGGCTCTGAAACTAACACAAGATTCTTGAATTTATACTTGAATTACCTCAAATCATTCAAGTAAATTTAAGAAAAAGACTTTTCCATGGATTTATTTTAATTCTACTTTAACTTTTTAATTATAATCACAAATGTTCTGGCCATCATTGAATATGTGAAGGCTACGATTAAAGAAATCATGCCTTCATGTAAATAACAATTCAAGAGAAGATAATAAAAGTATAAGGATCAAATAATTGAACGTATAATTTCCATTAGTAGCAGGTAATTTTTCTTTTATGGTAAATTTTGGTGTTAGTAGAGAGGAAGTAAGTTGTATAACCTCGGGACACCCGATAAAGCATGTAAAGTTAGCATCCAGAAAATCCCTATGTGTACAAGTTAGTTATGAAATAATGTGAAAAAAGAAAATTGACTTTTCTTAACTTTCTTTTATACCGCTGCGTTTTTGCCATTTTAAAAAAGGCTGTGAGTATATAAATTGAAACGCCCATTTTAACTATTGCTGTGGAATGTTTCAGTGGAGTTTTATGAATTTTAAAAATATCTTTCTAGATCATATCTACTATGTTGATTTCATTTCTCTGTTTTTAACTTAATTTCTTTCTTGTAGCTTCTCCATGGGTTGATAACAGTAGAACTCCAAACAAGATTGATCTTTATGATGTACGCAGAAGACCATGGTAAGAATTTTTAGGTAGCTGTGAAAAAATGAACTAGACAAAAGAAGGTCACATTTTTTTGTGAAAAAGTTGAAAGGATTTCCATTTTAGAATGACTATTGTCTAATTATTTTAAAGAGCTAGTGACTTTTTTTTCCCCAGCTAATAAATACAGTTAAAATTCAAGATGGTGAGTTCAAGTGAGCAATAATAGTGAAAATTGTTGAGATGACTTATCAAATGATTACAAATGGACTAGTTTTTTAAGTTTTATATTCAGTGTCCCTCTCTAAATCTCTTTTAGCTAGCAGGGGTTTCTATTGAAAAGCTCCCAGTTTGCTTGGAGTAGAGCTTTAATGAAGTGTCTCGATAGAGTAGAAGGTGGTTTGGCTCTGGCAGTGAACTAATGAGAACTGGCCCCAAGGTATGAGCTGCCCCTAGTCATGGTCACCTAGCTTAGCTTTCCCAGAAGGAAAGCTGCTTTGTTCCTCACTACTAAAGCAACTCTTCTCCTAACATGTACCTCGAAAAATAGCAAATAGCTTACAATTGCACTCACTGGGAAACAACTATTAAACTTGCACATTTTATTTCCATTTTTAAAAAATGTATTTAATGTGAGGATTGATCTTTTTTTAAATGGGTTCACATTTTGTACAGTACACTGCTTTGTAACCTGTTCTTTCATATCAATACCTTTGAGTGCTTACGCATGAGAGACATGCTTAATGTCATTTTAGAATGATTATATGGTAACTTATTTTGAAAATCCCCTACTATATTGGACATTTAGATTTTTTTTTTGTATTACTTCTTTTTTTTTTTTAATTTTATTTTTTATAAACATATAATATATTTTTTTCCCCAGGGGTACAGGTCTGTGAATCGCCAGGTTTACACACTTCACAGCACTCACCATAGCACATACCCTCCCCAATGTCCATAATAACCCCACCCCCCCTCTCCCAACCCCTCTCCCCCCAGCAACCCTCAGTTTGTTTTGTGAGACTAAGAGTCAGTTATGGTTTATCTCCCTCCCAATCCCATCTTGCTTCATTTACTCTTCTCCTACCCCCTTAACCCCCATGTTGCATCTCCTCTCCCTCATATCAGGGAGATCATATGATAGTTGTCTTTCTCCGATTGACTTATTTCGCTAAGCATGATACCCTCTAGTTCCATCCACGTCGTCGCAAATGGCAAGATTTCATTTCTTTTGATGGCTGCATAGTATTCATTTAGATTATTTCTAACTACTTGTGAGGGTTTAAACAAATTCCAAGATGCATGATGATTGAATTGAAGAAATATATTTACGACTTTTAAAATGTCCTGTTAACCATTCCAGTAGCGATTTACGTGAACACCAGCCACAAATGATAGTACCAGATATTATTAATCACGTAATATTCTTGTTAATATTTCTCTAGGTGTAGTGGCCCTGGAGTTATGGGATGTTGAATGGAGGCCGAGACTGGGATATCACATAGATCACATAGATTGGGTTTAGGAACTGTTGTTTTGGGGGGGGACCTTAGAAGCAAGGTGCCAGCCTACTAGCCTATCCTCTCATATTCCAATGGACCATTGCAGATGCTGGACATGAACTAGATTTGCCTTTCATTGGAATATCCTGACAAACCTACCGCTTTCACCTTCTTACAGAGAAATGGACTTGGGTGCACGTTATACACTCTGTTTCATGAACACGTAGTCCTGAGTAGATACTCACTGTTTTGGATGTTATCTAAAAACTAATTGGCAGCTTTTCCGCAGGCTTCTGAGAAGTTAGAGTCAGTCTTGGGCAGAGAGGCCTCAAAGATAACTAAAATATTGAGTTCAGGTTTAGCTCTTCCTGTTGGATAAATCAGAACAGCCGCCCCCACCACCCCGCTTCCCCGCCAATCAGGCTGTGGCCAAGCAGCATGAACTTTGGGGGATCACTCACCTGCAATTCAGTTTATCACTACAGTTGGGCTGGGGTCAATGTGAGAATCCATGTTTTGAACTGGTTCTCTAGGTGATTCTCAGACACTAAAGTTCTGAGAGGCACCACCTGAAACTCTTGGTAATGTTATACGTTACTCTGTTTTCAATCACTTTATCATCACTTTGTATTACCCCTTAGTATTTCTTCTCTGTTGGTAGTTGTTTTCTCACATTCCTAGACCACCTAGCTCTTGCTGTGCTTATTTTCTGCATTGAAAAATAGGATATAATCTTTTAATTCCTTAGAGTGAGTTTTAAACCCCATGGTCAATAAACTGGAGTTTAGGATATATATGTGTGTGTGTTTGTATACACACACACATATGTGTATATATGTATATGTGTACGTGTGTGTGTATATATGTATATGTATATATATATATATATATATATATATATATATATATATATATAAAATATATACATATATTTTTTCATATCCAGGAGGTAATTTCTTTTGCTTCTAATATTAGAACACATCTCTTGATCTCTTGTTTTATCTGTGAAACATATTCTGCCTCTGACATCTCTATTATGTTAAATGGAGCTTTTTAAAAATTGACATTGTAGAACTGTGAATGAAAACACATTGCCTACTGAGATGCTCGAAAAAAATACCTGATCTAAAAAAAATCAGTGAATACCAATTCAAAACATATCAATGTTCAATAGTTTTCAAGAGAAAAAAGTATTCATATAGTCTTTGTTTCAGGTACATCCAAGGAGCTGCATCACCTAAGGACATGCTTATCCTGGTTGATGTGTGAGTAGTTAAATATTCTCTCTTTATATACTGAAAATTTAGGGAAGATAGGAAGATAACAGTAATATGTTGGAAGTAGGTTGGGTTAAAAAAAAAAAGCAAAGAGAAATTATGATGACTTTATATCCAGGGAAAAAAGCCATATCAAGATAGTAACAAAACAAAAATTATCTTACAGAAAATAAGAATCTACATTGGAATTGAAAATTATGGCATATTTATAATGTTTGAGCTTTTTGAAAAATTATTCTTTTATTTCAAATTTTTGCTTTACATTTTAAACAGGATAAAGTATTTGGTTGCTAAAACTTAGCAGTTCCTGCTACCAAAAAAAAAAAAAAAATTGGCATTTAGCTACTAATGATTCACATAATTTGTAGGAATTTAGCCACAAAATAGATAAATATCAAATATATTAAAGGCCAATACTGGGACTTTTTTAAAGAGAAATAGGAAGGAATTGCATGAGTTTTTGTATTGGTCATTTTATTTTTTTTACATCCCTTTGAGTTAAGGGGTATGTGTGTATAATTTTCTAATAAAATTTAAGATGAAATTGTAGAATATAGAAAATAATATGTTTTTTAAGAGCAATGCCAAGGAGTTAAAAACAAGAGGTATAAAATGCTTATTTTCCTTGAGAGAAAAAGTTAAATCTTCTTAAGTTCTTTGTCATACTGGAAGAAACAGAATCCAGTGTTTTGTAGACAGCTAAATCCATACCACAAGCTAATATCATCATTTGAAAACATTTAAAAAATGATCTGAAATAAACAAGTTAAAAACATATCACTTAGCCTGAGAAAGAGAAGATAAAGGAATTCAACATGTTAACTTACATGTTAATTCCCATTTCATTTCTTAAAATATATATAAATCAGAATATATTTTAATTAAATTATTATGGAGTTATATGCTAATCTTTGATATTCTTCTTAAGTATAAACCTAAGTGGTGATTCAATATGTTATACTCTGGGACGCCTGGGTGGCTCAGTTGGTTAAGCAGCTGCCTTCGGCTCAGGTCATGATCCTAGCGTCCTGGGATCGAGTCCCACATCGGGCTCCTTGCTCTGCAGGGAGCCTGCTTCTCCCTCTGACTCTGCCTGCCATTCTGTCTGCCTGTGCTTGCTCTCTCTCTCTCTCTCATAAATAAATAAAATCTTTAAAAAAAAATATGTTATAATCTTTTTGGATATGTGATAATTCCCAGAAATAATTCTTCATATTAAAATCTTTAGAATCCACATGTGTATTAGAACATTAAAAATGCATATCAAGTTCAAATAGCATTTTTAAAAATTATTTCAACAAACATGTATGGAAGGTCTCCTTTATACAATGTGATAATGTAGAGACAAAGAGGATTAAGATGTCTCTCAAAGATAATTCAAGTGTATTAGTGAAACTTAACCATATTCCCAAGTAACTAAAGTAATTATAGAAGGTGATAGACGTAAAGTATGACCCAGTACTAAGAGTCCATAGGGAATAACACTCTGACTGAAAGTGTCAGAAAAAGCTTAACACTAAGGAAGTAAAATTAAAATTGATTTCACAAGGTGGGCATGGGAGAGGAGAGGAAAGAAAATGGAATTTCCAATGGAAGAATTGACAGGTGCGAAGTGATATAGGTGAAAACATTTGGGGGCACTGTATTGAGCAGCAGAAGAAAGGAAGAAAGGAAGGAAGGGAATGAAAGTTTTTGAATACAGGGCTCTTGTGATCACTGGCTAGTTAGTAGGTAACTATGAACTATTAACAGTATTAGCTCAAGATGAGTTTCTAGAATTTTCACCTGTTTGCATGGCGAGGAGTAGAGGCTGAGTTGTATGGAGAGGCTGTTACCCAAGCTCAGGGTCTTCAGGTAAGACACACCTGACACAGGGTGGAGAGAAGATGGAGAAGAGGCCACCTCTTTGGGAACTGAGAAATGGAATGAAAAAGAGAGGTTGTCCGAAAGGGTGAGAAAGTTGAGAGGATGGAGGAAATTGGATGACTGAAACCCAGCCAGATTGGTACCAAGATCATTAATAGGGGAAAAAATATGTGTGGGAGTAGTTTGCCATTCTGTATATTGACCCTGTAGTTGTTTAACAAAGCCAGAAGTCTAAAAGTGGGGAAAAGTTGAGAGCTCTAGAGATGAAGAAGGGTGAGTTAGTTGTCTGGAGGTGAGTCTCACAGTGAGATGAGGTCGCCGAGGATCCGTAGAATATGTAGAGACCAGAGAAATAAGGACTAGAACCCTTCAACCTGGCTAACAGAGCTGGTATTCGGGTATCTATTTCTTCAATAAGTAAATATGTCATGAGTATCCATAATTTCTTAAAATGATCCCTGGACATGCAATGTTCATCATTATAGTTAGAAACGTATACATTCTGTTGCTGATAGGAAAGATAAAATTCTTTACAATATATTTCTACTCCATCAGAAATATGACTCTCTTTACTAACTTTTGAAGGTAAAATTACTTAAATATTATATAAATGACCTAGAGTTAGTGGGAAAGTCTCCTATTGTTAGGATGTGTGGTGTTGCTTCAGTATGTGGTCATGGACCCATTGTTTTATAGGAGTGGAAGTGTCAGCGGATTGACACTTAAACTGATCCGAACATCTGTCTCCGAAATGTTGGAAACCCTCTCAGATGATGATTTCGTGAATGTGGCTTCAGTAAGTATAAGATGACTGCATTTTTGTGGAATTAATTCTGCAATTTCTATCTCCCCCTGATTTTAAATATTTCATAGTGTTTTATCACTGATAGGCTGAGGTAGGTCTGATTTATTATAAAGCTGTCTTACTGAGCAGTCCTCTGCTTGTTGCTAATTCTCCTATGCTTCCATGCCAAGGTCCTTTTTGAATGTCTAAGGCTTTTGCCATGATTGAAGTAATTGAAGTAATAATGAAGAAAAAAAACACGGCAGATATTCTCCCCTCACACCAAGGAGCTTAAACAGGTGACATGAACCCTGTACTTGCTGTTATCCCTGTAACTCCTAATAAGTAGCAACTTGGCAGTATCATTAGATGGCAATTTTCTCTTCATTATAAAACTCAATTTTTCACACTGGACATGTATCCATAATGTATTATTTTTTTTAAACTGAAGTATAATTACGCTACACAGTGTTAGGTTAGTTGCAGGTGTACAACATATTGATTCAACAATTCTATATGTTATCACAATGATACGTGTTGTCACCATCTGTCACCGTACAATTTTATTAAAATATTGTTAACTATATTCCCTATTCTGTACTTTTCATTTCTGTGACCTATTTATTTTATAAAAGGAAGTTTGTCCCTCTTAATCCCCTTTATTTTACCCATTTCCCCCTACCCACCTCCCTTCTGGAAACACTGGTTTGTTCTTTGTATTTAAGAGTCTCTTCGGTGTTTGTTCATTTGTTTTGGTTTTTAGATTCCACACACAAGTAAAATTATATGGTATTTTTTTTTCTCCACCTGACATTTCACTTAGCATAATACTTTCTAGGTCTACCCATGTTGTCCCAATTGGCAAGATTTTTTTGTGGGGGGGGAGGGCTGAATCATATTCCAGTGTGTGTATCTCACTCTGTCTTTATCCATTCATCCTTTGGTTGATACTTGGGTCACTTCCATATCTAGCTTATAATAAATAATGTTGCAGTAAACATTTTGAATTAGTGCTTTTATATTCTTTGGGTAAATACCTAGTATTGGAATTACTGGATCATGTAGTATTTCTGTTTTGAATTTTTTGAGGAATGTCCATGTTATTTTCCACAGTGCCTGCACCAATTTATGGTCTCAGCAGTAGCGCATGAAAGTTTCTTTTTCTCCACATCCTCCCCAACTCTTGATTTTTTTTTTTTTTTTTTTTTTTTTGTCTTTTTCACATTAGCCACTCTGTCAGGTCTAAGCAATATCTGATTGTGGTTTTGATATGTATTCCCTGATGATGAGTAAAGTTTAGCATCTTTTCATGTGTCTGTTGGCTGTCTCTCTGTCTTCTTTGGAAAAATATATTCAGGGCCTCTGCCCATTATTTATTGGGTTGTTTTTTGTATTTTTGGTGGGGGAGGGTTTTGAGTTACAGGAGTTATATATTTTGGGTATTAACCTCTTACTGGATATATCGTTTGCAGATATCTTCATCCATTTAGTAGGTTGCTTCTTTTGTTTTGTTTCTGTTTCCTTTGTTTTGCAGAAGCCTTTTATTTTGATGTAGTCCCAATAGTTGATTGTCTTAGGAGCTATATCTAGAAAAATGTTGCTATGGCTAATGTCAGAGAAGCGACTGCCTGGTTTCAGATCTCACAGTTAGGTCTTGAACCCATTTTGGGTTTATTTGCATATGGTGTGAGAAGATGGTCCAGTTTCATTCTTTTGCACGTGGCTATCCAGTTTTCTTAATACTGTTTGTTGGAGAGACCATCTTTTCTCCATTGTATGTTCTTGCCTCTTTTGTCATTGATTTATTTCTGGAGTCTATTCTGTTCTATTGATCCATGTGTCTCTTTTCCATTGATCTATGTGTCTGTACCATACTGTTCTGATTACTTTGTAGTATATCTTGAAATACAGGATTGTAGTATCTCCAGATAGGTTCTTCTTTCTCAAGATTGCTTTCGCATTTCAGGGTCTTTTGTGATTCCATATAAATCTTAGTGTTATTTTTTCCATCTTTGTGGAAAATGCCACTGGTAATATGTATCCTAATAATGTATTAATAATGATAATAATGTATTATGTTTTCAAAGTATTGTTAATATAAGAACTGATATGTCAATGTGCTTTTTAAAAAATCTTATTTCCAAAGAACCATAGTAGACCTTCCTACTCATAGGTAAAGGAGGTCAAACTCTAAAGCAAATAAAACAGACTAAATGAATGTTAGCACATCTCAGAATTTAAGCAAGATATTTCATGATCATTTATTGGTATATAATTCACATTTGAAGTGGTTATATGCATAGACATGAAAATGAGCAATTTGTGTTGAGGTCATTTTGTATTGAACATAAAAGAAGAGATTTGTCTTTGAAACCCCCTGGGAGGATGAAGTTAAAGCAACTTCCTTCACTGGAAGGGCACCCCTAGGAAGGAAGTAGTCAAGAGAATCAAGTATCATCTCTCTGTTAGCCTGAACTCCAGGTAACTGGATGTATGATGTTTACGAAAAGGAAGGGGATTTATAACTAAAATGCTTTTTGCAGGATATCACTGGCTGAAGGTAGCTATAGAACCCAAGATCAATGAGGCAAGACTTTGTAAAAATGTTCCATAGGTGATACATGCAAGGAAGTCTGCAAACCTCCTTTGGAGACTTCTTCTCTTCTGGGCCACATGTGTGTCTCCACCACAGTGAGGCACGACCTGGTGTTTTTAGTTTCCTAAGGCTGCCGTAACAGAATGAGACAGATTGGGTAGCTCAAACTATAGAAAGGTATTTTTTCATGGTTCTGTAGGCTGGAACTCCAAGGTCAAGGTGCTGGCAGGGTCACTTTCTCCTGCTGCCTCCTTCCTTGGCTGACAGATGGCTGCCTGTTGCCGCGTCTTTAGATGGTGATCTGTCTGCCCGTGTACATCCCTGGTGTCTCTTCTTATATGGACACCAATCCTAGTAGATGCTGTCCTAATAGCCTAATTGTAACCTAACCACCTCTTCGAAGACCTTATCCTTGAATACTGTTACTTCTGAGGTACTAGGGGTTTGGACTTCAAAGTATGAATTTGAAGGGATGCGATTCAGCCCATAACCTCTGGGGACCCACCGTCAATGTCCAGATCTTGCTCTGCTTTACCCGAACCTTCACAATCCTTTAGCTTGACTGTATCCTTGATATTATTTCATAAAGCTTGATATTGCCTAAGATCTGATTCGTCCCATTCTTATTTTATACTCTGCTCTCTACGTTTGCTCAGCATCTAACAAAATGTGAACAGGTAAAATGTAATCTCTCAAATGATCAGAAAGGTAGTTATTTAGGTTCACTTGTACATAAACGTATCATTTATCACAAAACATAACAAAAGAGAAAATTGTAAAAACATTAAATTCGATATGGATTCAGCCTATCTAATAAAATTTATATAAAACCAACAGATATTAAATATGGTCATTGTCTTAAACTGGCTTCTGCCTGATTCTCACTCATGGATTCAAAGTCTGGTAGTTGATTTGGGACATGATCCCAGGAAACACTACCATTTAAAGGAGTGTGGAATTGAGTCAAGAGAAAGAGGGAGATAATCGATTAAAGGATCTCAACTTCATTTAAAGGAACTTTATCCTACTAAAGAATCCCAGAAGCTGCTTAGAATATGAACTTCAAAGTTATTCTGCCAAAATCCCTAAAGATCTGGGGTTTTATGTACCAGCCTTCCCCATATGTGGGCAGCATAGATTTTGGCCACAAGAGGGGAAACTGAGACCAAAAGTTGTAGGTAATGGTAGTGAGAAACCTCACCAATGCCCTCTTTATCCAGTCACTGATCCTTTAAGATGGGTGACTGCTCACAATTAAAACAACAAACAAACCAAAAAGCCCAGCTGAGAATACATCACGAAGGAGGGTTGCTAACATTAGAACAAAGGTCCGTAATTTATACTTAATCTTTTTTCTTCTTTCATACCCTTTCAAATTTCCCTGCACATTAACTCTGTCAGCAGCTTGATTAGTGAGATGGCCTGAACTTGAAACCCAGAGGCCTGGGAATGCACAGTCTCTGTGTGTGCATTTCACAGTGGCTCCTGAAATTGTCCAGACTTCACCGAGCACAGAAGGGGCTTAAATGAGTCCTCGAGTTTTATACTTGGTTCTGCTTTCCCCACATTATGTAGCAACAGCCTTCAGGACGATCTTCTTGTCAGCTGGAGCTCTGCCAGATTTTTTTTTTTTTTTGCATGTAGTTTTACTGGCTTGAAAAATCCAAAATATCGAGATAGTAGGTATAGATTTAGGTTAAGTGAAATTCTTACTGTGACCCTGGTGGGAGCACCACCTCAGCTTTATACCCCCACGTGGAAAGTAGAACATTTGTGGTCCGTAGAGCCTAAAGTTGCAGAGACAGGGTGGGCAGATTTCCCAAGTAGCTCACGCTCTGTGGTGGCGAGAGACGCTGCTCCCACATCCATCCCTTAGTTCCCACACTCATGCATTCCGCCTTTTTGGGGCAGAGCCAGTGTGGGGAGGGGCAAGCTGATTTGTAGCATTTGCTAATTTTCATAATATAAATATTCCCACCGGGGCTGATTTCAAGCTACCTATTATGTGAAGTCAGCTGGCTTTAATGATTCCTGAAAAGTATACTTTTTAAATTAAATTTAATTTCTTTTAAATGAGCAGATACAAGCTGGTGCCAGCACATCAATGAACATAACACCGTAGTCGAGAGTACATTTTATATCTTGAAGGACTACATTTCAATTCAAAGACTGTCATCCCCAAGCTAGAGCCTTCATTGTGCATTTAAGAGACTGCCCCAGTGTTTTATCACGTGGGCAGCTCTTAAGTAGGGCAGTAAATGGTGGCCCCGGTGGATCCCATGTTCATGTGCCCATTATTGGACCTCATTTCCCATAAAAGAGGTTCTTGGTTATGCAGCTGATGCACAACCCCATGGTGATATCCCATGATGCTGAATCAGGTAGTATGTGTACCTGGGAGAGGCACCGTGAACAA